AGCCTGAACCTACCTCAATTAATAGAATAAAAAAGTTTAGCAAAGAGAATGTGCTACACTTTTTTGATTTGCTGGAAAAAATTGGACAGGAACCTATTCAGGCAAATGAATCAATGAATGACAATAATGACGATATTTCTTGTCTCAGCCGATAAATCGGTTAGTACCATATGCATCTTTCACACCCGTACCAGGTAAACAAGACATCGACACGGATAAGTCCTTACCCAGCACATCAAACTCTATGTTTCTTGGTAGTTTGGATGAAATCGCTCACGTGCCGAATCCATTGAAAATTGTGTCAAGCAAAAGAATCAGAGCAGCCCGTGTAAGGACGGACTTGAAAGCAGTGGAGAAGAGCAGAAGAATAAGAAGCGAAAAGTATCTTTAAAGGGCATGGGTTTAGAAAACTGGCTTTATACAGAATGTGGAACAGAAGAAAGAAGAATACAGTAACATGCTTCAATTAATACGTTTTAAAACATGGTTTCACTGCAGTTGTGTAGGTTTAGATATAAGAACTAAACTAGGTACTTTTCTGTAATTCATGGAAATCATTGTGGAATGGAACACAATCATGGAAAAAGAGTATTATTACTAGTTAATGTCATTTAGTTCGTTTAGTCGTGTTACGTATTTCATTAAACATATATAATCGTTACTATTATAAAATATTTTATAGGTTCAATTTGAGCAATGCGTTTCCCAATTTGAACCTTTTTCGACTTTCGCAAAACAACAATTTTGATTTTAGCAAAATTGGTTCAATATGAGCAACTTTACCCTATTTGCCTTTGGCAAAAAAATAATCAGTTGCGGATGAATTGCTTGTTAGTAAGCAAACGTGTTTAAGTGCTTTGTCAGCGGACTCAATCAATTAATCCAGCAAAAGGAGTATTTATGCAAGAGCAATTAGTGGTACAAGAAGAGGGTTAGAAAAACATATAATATAATTCGACATGCCCTGTTTCAAGAAGAGGAGTCTGTTTGTAGGGAACACAGAGATCCGCCGGTACGAACCAAGAGTGGGTGAATGCAGGGTTGATGTTCACTCCAAGTCCCAGGGAGGGTTGATGTGCAGATGGGTGGCGCTGAAATCCCGAAGTCACGGCAAAGTCCATCGCCACCGCTTGATAAGGCAGCATTTTGGTACTCACGCGAGACAGTTCGTGCACTTAGAAACTATACCCGAAAAAAACTAGACGGTTAGGTTGTAACGATTTGTTTAATGGGTTGATTTCTTGTATAAGAGGCATGAGTTAATCTGCATAGGAATGTATGTGACGAAAACTTTACCATAGAAACTGATTAATGTAAAGTGCGGTTTGCGTAAGCATAATAACTAATTTTAAAAATAGAAAAATAAAAACGTCATTTCATGGCTTTCCCATGGTCGCATTGGTATATTTATGTCATCGTCGCAGGACCGGAATACTAATTATAAAAGTTCATCAGAATGATTTTATTCTAAAACGATTGCATATAACATATGACATCAGTCTCTGTTCCATATATCTGATGTCTAATATAAATACCTACATACTTATGCCCAGTAAGTATCTACTACTACTTAAATGATGGATGCATATACGAGTGAATATGAATTTACTTTTCGCAGATTTATTTAGAATAAAAGAAATAAATTGTAGTAAATGCGTTGAATAAATTGCACAAAAACTTCAATTATTGGTACTGAATGAGTAGCCTCAAACCCAGAAAAAAAATCATTTACAAACCTCAACTTTTTTGTAAACATAAACATAAATCGTAAACGTACATATCGAAATGCGACGTATTTCGTGAAAAATCGAACTTTATCCAACCATAGTTGTCACGTTGAGGAAGCACAAAGAGTGACTAATAACCGAAAAGAAGCGCACGGATTTTCTTAACGAGCAGTAGGGTGTCAGAGGGCGTTTCAATTTGGGATTCCCACACTCGGGTTGGTTAGAAGTCACGCAGCCGAGTTCGCGACGCGCATATAGACGGACTATTCGTTGTTTTTCACGCCCACGTTCGGCTGTGACGTTATCAACAAGTAGTCAATATACATGGGCACAATGTTAGCCGGTCACGAACGGTACTGACCCTTCGATTTCTGAATTTATATTCATTTTCATCCAAATACACGTAATCGATATCGAAATAGAATATATTATTAAAGGGATAACTTTCGTTTGCCGGAAATCAGCTGCAACAAAAGAAACTATTTCATACTATGGATGAATTAGGTATCTATCTGTCACATGTATGGATTTATACGATGATATGGAAGTGTTTCTATTGGTTGGATGATCTGACATCGTACCAAGTTGAAAAATATTTCACTTTATGCGACATTGAATTATTGATTTTTAACCTCACATTCACTGCTTTCATATTAAATTTTAAGCTGAATTTATTGTAAGTTTTATATGTAAATAAAATAAGATTAACAACGCTAAAACAAAGAAAATTAATTCAAGAGATCACAATAAGTTTATTTTAATCTATTCCACCAAATAAGCATTCATAAGTATTTTCTAATTGATTTGGACCTATCACTGAGTGGTAGCTGTGAATCCCACAACGGTGATCTTTCCATTTGTATAATAACTTTTTTATTTGTATAATAAATCCGAAATTTAAATAAAAAATAAGATACTATAAAGCTCAACAAGAGACAACAAGATAATAAATGTAAAAATTTGACCTAAATTCACTTTTTTTTAAATGGAACACCTTATGTATTTTTAGACAGATCGATTGGATTTATTTTCCTCATTTCAGAAATATATACCTATTAATTTCCCATCTTCTTCATTAGTTGTTTATTTGTTTTAGATATACCTACTTATGAGCTACTACTGGAAACTGTTCACTATATCAGAAAACGGGTCTCTTTTGCGCCGGTAGTGGACGTCATTTGCAGATCTGGATTGGGTAAGTTACTAAGAAAGAAGCTGCATTTACAGGGTGATTGAAAATTAGAGTTACTTTGTGTGGTAGTGGGAAGCCCTATCGGGCAGCTTCAAGTTGCTCAAAACACTTTGGTGCTCGCCCCCCTTTTACCAACTGTTACTATTATTAGGGCGCTAGCTTAGTAAGGGAAAAGGCCCTCCTTAACAGCGCACTACGGCTTCGTTCTTTTTCAGATGTCTGAAGTTCTCTTAAACTCTAACTTAACAATCACAGTGTCTCTAATTAAAAAAATCGTCCCTCAATTTAAATTAATCTTTTTAAAGCGATTTGAGATCCTTTTTACTCAATAGAGGACGCTTGAGTGTTAAAAGCGTCAATATATCGTATAAATCGCACAAAATCTCGATTTTTGCACACTTTGCAAAAGTTGGTCTGAATGAACTGAATATATACAGTATGAGAAATTTATGAAAAAATACAGTTTCCAAACTGAAGCGAGCTGGAACTTGAAGTTTTACCGTTCTATAAAAGACACTCGGGTCGCAAATTGTAGAGAAGTTCACTCAAATCCCACCAAATAATTACTTTTGCACCCCAGAAAAAAATAGTCGAAAATCTTAATTTCGAATTTAAAGACGACAGGAACTTGAAATTTGAAACACCTCAATCTAAAATCCGTGAACAGTTCATTCAAATCGCACTAAATCCAGCCTTTTGCGCAATTTCCGAATGTAGTTCGACAATGGACGGTTTCATGCAACTTACAAATAAAAACTTTCAACTTACAATCTAAAGCTGGCAAGAAGCTGAAATTTTGAGATTTTATAGAGGACACATGAGACTAAAATCCTTCAAAAGTTCGTTCAAATACCACCAAATTCTTTGCAAATATTGGTGTGAAAATGAACGGGTCCAGGCAACTGCAGACTCAAAAAAAAAGTCTTAACTTACAATCTAAAGCAAGTACGAACTCTAAATTTGGACATTATATAGAAGACACTTGAGTCTAATATCCATGGATCATTCATTAAAATTGCACCAAATTCTGACTTTTGCGCGTTTAGCAAATATGAGTCCGAAAATGGACAGTTTCAAGCAACTGGAGACCCTCAAATAAAAAAATCCTGGAAGTTAGGATCCAAAGCCAGTAGGAACTTGAAATTCGGCAGTTATAGAAGACACTTGGATCTAAAATCACTGAAATATTCAATTAATTCGCACCTAACTCTGACTTTAGCAAAGGTGAGTCCGAAAATGGACGGTTTCACACAACTGACACTTCTCCAATAAAAAATTCTCACTTTCAGTCTAAAGCTAGTAAGTCACTTGAGTCTAAAAACCCACACTAGTTTATTCAAATCGCATCAAATTCTGATTTTTGCGAGCGACGAAAATGACAAGAAAAACCTATACAAATGTTTAATAATCATTGACATTTATGTCAATTTAAAAAGGGTTAATAACTATATCAAAGTGACTTGTTAAACTGAATTTCAGTAAATTACAAGTACCGAGAAATATTAGGCATATAATATTTTTAAGCGCTAATGCTGATGTTAGATTAAACGTTTTACCGCGAATATTTTCCATAATACAATTGCCATTAATGTTTAAAATATCGTCAAATAAAATATGATTCTGATCTGACGATCAAAGACAAAGTTAAACAAGCCAAATTGGCAATTTCACCTACATTTTAAGATTAAGGTGTCATTTTTCAATCTACCGCGAAAACAGTACCTATAATTGGACTATGAATAAATTGCAGACAGCAGTTTATGTTTATTAGGCATTTTATATTAACAATAATAAAAAAAATAAACTTTCCATATTTAACTTCTTGGTTGTAACATCAGCTAATACTGCTAACTTGCCAATATTTGAATATTTCTAGCTAGCTTTTGAGGTGAATTTATTAGAAGTTTGAAATAACATTTTTGAATGATACAGTTTGAATAGAACATAGCTAATATAGATTATCCTTACTTTCTGCCCTGCTTTGGTGAATGATATTAGTGAGGTAAATTACAAATGTGTATATGAATGAATATTAGCCAAGGTTACATAACACAGGTTAAATGAATTTGATAGGTACTCACGGTTCAGCAAATGGAAGACATCTGAAATAAACAGAAACAAACGTATGAGATTCAAATATTCCAATGGGTGCTTACATTTTTAATTCAACTGCATAAGATTTGTTAATTGAATATATCGGAAAGAAAGATTTTGGTGACTTGTCTAATACAGTGCCTAAAATACCGACAAAACCAAAGAAACCGTTCAATCAAATCTAACAACGTTAGGCTGTGACATGAAAGAAATCTTTCCGCAAATTTCGGCATTCGGACCCCACCCAATCAAAGGTTTGTCGAAAAAATAACAGTGGACATTAATTGAAGGGTGCAGTCGATAGATTCAATAGGCTGGTGGCTTCATTAGGTATTAAAGAGAACGGGGTACAGTTTATATCCAGAGACGAAATCAGTTGCTAAGTGTATATAATTATTTTTTTGCTTCCACAAGGCTTAATTGGATTATTTTAGATCAAATCTGGTAACCTTTATGTTTTATCATGTATCACATGAGAATAATATTTCTAGTGATAAACCCAACATACCTAGTGATTTTATTGACTAGGTACATAAGTACCTACAAAATAATAAAATCTTCATTTGAATATTTCAACTATTGATAAATAGTGGATAATTGCATTATTTGCTGAAATATATGGCTTAAACAGGCCAAACTCTGTTTTAATTAAAGAATATTAAGCCTTAGAGAAACTGTGAATTGTATTCATAATTTGTGTGAAATTAACATGTCTGAAAGGTTTTGTTGTCAATATATTGATAAAGCCGGTTCTGGCACAATGATCTATCACAGCCCTATTATTGATTAGGCAGATCTATATGTGTTCAATAGGATTCGTTAGGCCCAATTTAAGACAGCCTGAGTATTTCCTTTGCGCTGGGCAAACATAATACCCGATAGTAATTCGGACACTTCCACTAGGGGTCCAGTCTTTAAGCAAACTTTTTTATTGCTGTATTCTCTTTACTTTGGACATGCTGGAATAAATAAAAATAAATTTGATAAGTAGCCAATATATATGCACTGCGTCAATTCGATATAATAGTCGAAGACACATTTCCTCTATATTCCGTATTATCAGAATTATATTAGCAAAACTAAGTTGGCCACCAAATGGGCCAATAAATAAAATGTTGCAAAACTTTGTTATTAATCGAGATACTATTAAATGGTCACGTGCACTATGAAAGCATACGTAAAGTGCCACCAGGGTGTACTAAATCGGCCGAATAGAAACAAACTGGGTAATTTGGCAAAGCAGTTAGTGTCTTACAAGTGGGCTCTTTATCAGCTGCCTTTGGGAACAAATCTGGATTACGCCGCGGGTCTCAAGCCTTAACGTCCCACTTTGCGATTACCTTTCAATTAGTAAAGTCAGATAGCACTATCTGCTCGCTTGGTTGCTTCACAAATTGACTCAGTCGATTAAACATTTATGCTTAATGATCTTATTATTACTGTGGGAAATAGGGAATTTTCAAGTATTATTTATAACATATTATATATTATTTTATTATCATCGGCGTGTTGGAATTGTTGAATTCTAGTGATTACTTATAATAATCGTGACTATCGCAGCTGACTGCTGAGTTCAATAGGAACAAGATACAACAGTAAAAGTTTCCTAAATAGAAGACATCTAATAACATGATCAAAACTGCTGAAATTAAAGCTTTTATAATCACTATCAAATGTACAAAATTTTCCACACATCGTCAACTGTTTTGGAAAGAAGATTTTAATTTTCTGTCTATGCATCATAGCCAAGATCTTCGTATCTGATCAATTACCTGATTAAAATTACATTGAAACTGCATACTTGCTAATTTTCAAGCTATGCTAATTTTCAATAAAGGGTTGAAGAATTAACCAGATGTTTTTTAACCAAGTCCTCGAATAAAAGCTCTATAAACTTCCTATGCAAAGAGTTCATTCAAGGATTAAAAGAGGCAAAGTGTAACTTCTACCCTTTTGCTTGCACCCAGGCAGTTAAGATCGGCAACCCTGATATGCTTGTATTTTAATAATTTAATGGAATGATACCCCTTTCGAGGAATATCTACTTAATTTGTCGCGTTGCACAACAATCTAGCTACATATCTCAAATTATTGTAATGTCTTTCTCAAATGTTTAGCAACGTTGCCAACGGTATGAAAGGGTGAATATGAATTATATGAACAAGTATTTAGATAAAGTAACTCTGGAATGAATATTTCGTAGAATATCCACAAGAAAAAAATTCATGCGGCTCTATCACTTAATTTGAGCCGTACAACAAATAAGATAGTAATGATTGCTTCAAACCCTCACATGCTCTATTTAGTCTCCCCTCATATGTCGCCGAAGAAGGTAAATACAGGGTAATCATAAAGTTCATTAGGCTGTACCACGGGTTGATTTGAACCCCAACTTCTGCTGTTATTGTAATTCCCTTTTCTTGATTTTCTTTATAGATCAATCTGATTGCTTATTTGCCATTTAGTATTTAATATTGTTGCAGTATTTAGTAAATTTAATTACTAAGGTAATTTCACGCCCTTGTTGGATTTTGATATTGGTATACCACTGGACTGTAAAGAGAAAGTCAAAATTTAATCGTTTTAATTATGCGAGGGGAAGCTTCCTTCATTGAAAGCTCATTTCGGTTCAATTGAGGTTTCAAGCGCATTTTTAATTCGTTTTGTCGACAGTTAAAAGAGGGTGTGGCATGATATTATTGGAAACCGATAGAGCAAGTAGAGTAAAATCTAGATTTTATTGATGGTGACTTTCAATAAGCGATAAGTCTTCATTCTTCTTTCGCAAACCTCAGGCGAACGAAAACAATTATGTTGAACGCTAACCAAATTTGACAATTTAATTCCATTCGTTAGCATATGAAAACAAGAGCTTTTTGTATTTAATTTCAGGGAGACTGGTCTGGGTCTTGGATCACTACTTAGCTCCTTTATTCAGAATTATATTTCTAACATTTTAGGAAATTTCGACAACACAAACGTTTTAAACCCATTTCAACTTTATAATTTACGCAGTTTCGAGAATTATTGAAAATATGAACTATAGTAACCAAGGACAAGTCTTAATGCTGATTTTTAAATTCGTTTGGGAAATCCAATTTTTTTAAAGTGTGTTATATAATTTAAAACACTTCCTGAAAAAGCCTGAATATAAATCTGCAATTGAAATGTGACGGGCAAAGGAAAAGACAGTGTTAGATTCAGTTGCTTCGCAAGCTTCTTCATTAAGTAAAAGAACACGCTTACTCACAGAGTTAAAAGTTGCTCGTACTCAAAATATTTACTTGTAAAAAATTTTAATTTTAGGAAAATGAAAAGAAATTGCTCTAATCTTGTTGCATTTAAATCCGATTCAACCACCAACAAAAATGTTAATTAAAATTTTGTGGAAGACTACAAGCACCCCAATGTAGAAGCTCAATGTATGTAGAATATATTAAGTAAGGGTCAAGCGATAACTGCAGATACAAATTAAGATATTCTAATTGAACCTCTCCGACAAGACCCTAGTCTCTGTTCTTCATTAGTTTTCAGTCTGGAGTTGCGACAACCGACTTGGAAATTTTAGAGCCATGTTGCCAAAGTCGAACGAATAATTGAAATGTGATTTGTATTAAATTTATTATCATGAAACTAAGAAATTAGTGATTATTTTCTGACTACCTACACCACATTCTGACTTGGGAGCAAAACAATCCGGTTTGCTGAGTTGCTGTTATTGTCAGAGCAAAGTTTACTGCATTTTATACAAATGATAAAATATAAAAATACGATAATATTGATATGCTATCAGCCAATAGAAAAAACAACCATTTTTTACTCCAAACCGGAATGCGATCGAATTAGTTGGAATAAACAAACAAGGTGTCACTATATTCCAGCGTTTTAGTTTTCAAGCCGTATTATTCGTTCAGTTGCGTTTTAACTTTCATTAATATGGAGTGATTTTTTGCGGAAGTTTTCTAGACATTTACATGGACTTGTGAAGAAAAGTGAACTGTGTAAAATGCAACGGTTCATAGGTCAAAGGTATGCAATGTATATATGGATATTTGGCAATCTTTGGTTAAAACGGAAATGTGCTCCAAAATACGCAATTAAGTACGGATTCGTTTTATTCGAGCATAACACTATCCAATCCTCAAGTAAAATCTATTTGATGTAAATTAAATGTTTTGAAGCTTTTAAATCTTCAACTGAAGCAATGCTTATTGATGGGAAAATAAGGAAATATTAGAACAAGGTATCAGGTAGATATCCGAAATTGTGAATCAAAAAATATTTTTTTCAGACAATATTTTTTCGATCTGCACATATTGTATAATGATATGGCTTCAAAGTGACAATTTTAAAAATGAAATTTATTCTTAATTATTGCACTGCTTATTTGGAGATGGTGAAATATTTGTAACAAAAGTAGCCCATAATAAGTAGGCAGTAGTCCTTTTAAATTACAAACCTTATCCGAAATTCTGTTACTCTACCGGTATGGTTTATTATGCAATAAAAAATAAACTAATATTACAAATTACAACGTAATATTCGTTTACATTTACTAACGTACATATTTTGTTCGCATTCTTGAGCGAGAGGTAAACATATTTTCATAACCACAGTACTAAGCCACTAAAACCACGAAGTAAGTAAAGCGAAACATTGATAATAAAATTTTAATTTTGAAAAGTTATAGCAAATGGTCACAGTTAATAATAAATAGTTTAGCTGAGACCAGTAGAGAAGAAAATAAGCAGATTTCAGGCTTGAATATTAGTTTTATTATTTTTTTAGTTTTAGGTCACTCAACAAATATTTTTGTTGATTTTAATAAGAATCTCTCTTTTAATTGGACCACATCAATTGTATTTTCCTATCAGGCATTTTGAAATGGATTGACATCTAGCAAAAATATTATTACACGTTCAATTTTGTATAGTTAAGTATCTACAATTGTTTTTGTTGTTACAAGACAATTTTTCTAAATTTAATTTAAGCATTGACATATTATCTTCATCGAAGTTCAAAGCTTCTCTACGGTAAAGGCAATTGCCAATTAGGTATGTCATTATATTATTTCGCATTCATTTCTAGATTTATTGCAATACGCTTGCTGTCGCTAATAAACCGTACACTTCGCTTTAATATTTTTCAGTGAAATCAACTTATCTAAAAATCATATCCCGACTTTAGTAATCGGATTGAGATACTTTGTAATAGTTTTTATAAAACGCCAGCTTGAACTGAGATATTATCACTTTTTCGTTACAGCTTTATGGGACCTCGTTTTCGGTTCTTTAGCAAATGCAAGAAGCTCAGATTCTTATCACAGCATATCTGTTTCGCGTTTTACAAATTTATTATGCAATGTTACGAACATTTTTTATCTTGTGAGTAAAACATATTAAATTTGCGTTTAATATTGCTATGAGCTTTCCTAAGATTTTATTTATTTTATCATCTAAAGTTGCTGTAAATAAAACATTAATGTCAGGACTATTAAGTTGTTTATTGTTTGGTTTGATTCGTACAAATTACTGGGTGTACGACACTCAGCTTAGATGAAATTGTTCCTATCAAAATTTTATTTTCAAATGTGTGTAGTTAATTTTATTGTTTATTCATTAATGAACTTACTACACTTAAATAATGTTCTTGATTATAATTATTTTCAATTATAATCAGACTTGATTGTCGCTTTGGGACGCTGTTGAAAATTGAACAATTTTTTTTGTGTGGAATTTTTAAATGTTATGGATTAAACTAATTTATTAATAAATGATTGACTTAATGGTGCTATGTGGAATATTAGAGATTTTGTGTTGATATTATTTGCTGGCATCTATTGTTTTAATACCGTTAAAAGATCCGGTTGAGGAATATCTAATTTTTTTTCGAATTTTCAGTCATTTTTGAGTCTGTATTGCAAAAATGTTCAATGAATCTGACGATTTATATCTTTTAGATGTTCGTGAGCCAAAGGCGGCTGTCTGTTGGTTTTTGGAGGTGTGAAAGTGATTACTATTATACCTTGCTTTCTTAAAATTTCTAAAAAAGCATTTTCACTTAACTTTCAGTTTTTCAATGCAATAAATCCCTAGAATTCCTCCAAGACTTTAAAATGAGGGGCAAAAAAATATCTCTGGTATGCGCTTGTGCCTATGTTATTTCACAGCTCATTGCCCGCATTGAATTCGCTATGCCCAATGCAACAATTTCTTGAAGTCGGATCGACTACGCTTTTGTGATTACCATCAATTCTACGTCAAAGACAATAATTCTGTTTCCAACAGGCGACATTGAGAACAGTTACTTGGAATTATTTCAGAAGCTTTAATGTATCTAGCTGATACCAGAATTTTATCCTTGCCGAGTGTTTTAATTCAATTAAATATTTTTCGAACACCTATAAAAGTGAACTGATTAATGTAGGTATTAAATATATGTGAATTAACAGTGCTTAATTTTGTTGAATTTCTATAAATTTCTGATTTGATTTAGATAAGCCGCGTTAAAGATCTACCAAAATACTAAGGTACAAGGGAGCCAATTAAAAGTAGCTATAAGCGAGACTTGCGAATCGCAAATAATTTAATAAGGACCAAAAGGGCTGAAGTCTATACCGAGACTGTCTTAATTCTGATGATAATACTTCCTTACAATTTCCTGAGAGCTAAGCCCCGGGCTTAGAATCTGTTGATTAAAGAAAGGGTGATATCATCCAGAGAGAGGGATAGTTTTTCCAATGAGAAGTATATTAAGACGTCTTTTATTATTGTTTTGTTAGAGTTTTAATGCGCTTTTTATAGATTTAACGTCGATACTCTTCTGTTCGTTAACTTTTTATTTTTGATTTTTTAGGATTTATTAAATATATGAAGTGTTACATATGGAACCATTTACTAAATGACAGTTTAATACATTTTATCGTCTATAACCATGTCCGGAAATTATATTTTTTAAGCTAAGCGTTTCATCGGTATCAAAATGCAACCCCTTAGAAGAAGTAATTTCCTTCGCTAGTGAAAAATTAATCATAAGGGGTGGTCTTGGCAATTCCTTTGATGATAATAAAAATGAATTAACGAAAGTCTAGATATTAGTGTCGCCCGTTATAATGAATTTCTTTGCTCGCTTACATCACCCCCGGGATCGGTGATAAATAACCCTGGAAATTACGTTTTGCCCAGAGGTTTTTAGTGATATCATATTCATGATATACAATAATACTCGGGGATCTATATAGCATTTTATTTCGTGTTTATAAGACACATTAATATGATGTAATGTAGTAAATCGCCGCTGATATAATGCTTCACTAGGAATTATAAAGTTCAAATTTTCTTTAATCAGGATTAGAAATCCTAGCCATTGAGCCTATCTGAGACAATTTAATAGCCAAAACGAGAAAATCGAACTGGCCGACAAAGAAATGAAAGAAAAAGATCAAATTTTTGTTGGAACATAATTCTATTTTTCAAACTGCCGGTCATGTCCATCACCGTTTGTAATGTAGATTGGAGTAATTCCCGTAAGGAATGCCACTTACTTCGTTCACACCCCAAACACTTCTATAGGGAACGTCGCATTTTTGGGGTGCTTAAAGCTCACTAGCATGGTCAGCTGAGCTTCAGTTTGAGGCCTACTATATTAAAAGCATATCGCCAGTAGTGTCATAATTGATTTCGGATTAGATGTGACTTTGATCACTCCATAAAATTGACTAATAACCGTAGAATTCGGTTTAAATACATTCAAAATTACACTATCTCAAATCAACTTTGGTTAAAGTCACTGAATGTTGATTATCTTTTATTGGACTCTCTATTTATTGCTTATCTTAAAAACAATTTTCTTTCAAATTAATACAAAAACTAATACATTAACTGAACTGAATGAAACCTTAATCATTTTACTTGTGACCGAACCTAACTGTAGACTATGACTTAATTGACTTGCTCTTTCAGTTTTCTGATCAAACTTCTTATGACTGTAAAGACCGGACCTCTTATGACTAAACTCTAAATTATGATTAAATTCTCGTAACGTAAAATCTTGTTGAGTAAATGCTCGTTTCTTCTGTGGCTTCTTTTATAGTTAAATCATGCTGAGTATAGCAGAAACGATACTACGTCTTATTTTAAAAGAATAGTTGGCATAAGTGACCATATAATTGTACTCGTTTATAGACTAGCTCAGTGCCTGAATATTGAAAAGTTAAAATTACTGTCAACATAGACAAAAAATATTGTACTTAAAATAATCAAATTCGAAAATAGACAATTAGCTTTATCGAAACATCAACATAGTCTCCTTATTTTCTCGGATACTCTATTTAAATATATCCACGGCAATCGTCAATGCATGATCAAGGTGCATTAAGTAGTACATTTTGTCGGACATTTACATATAAAAAACCTAATTTTTATGTAGTTCTGAAACTCGTACGAAAAGCCAGCATTTCAAATGCCTTAAGCTTAAAAAGAAATCAAGTCGCAGAAATCCTGCTCCAAACTGATTTATTTCGGCCTATTCTAACCATAGATATCCGTGGCTATTTGTTATGTTAAGCATGACCCTCTCTTCTTTTTGGCCGACACGAAGCGTCCCATGAGATGGGATATTCAATACTCACCACCCAAGAAACCCAATCGATTACGGAAGGAAATTATTTACTGTCGGTAAAAGTTAATTATTTCCGATAATTAGTAGACGTCCCAGTTGTGCAATTCTGCTATAGAATTTTGCTGTGGATTCCTTAATATTGGAAATCAATCTAGTAGAAACTTGCCAGGTTCTGACATATTCCAGAAAAGTTGCAGTTTAAGCAATTTGTGTATATAACTGGATCGATTTGTAATGCATACCAGAGGTAAAGTTTGCCTCATAATGTTTTAGAGAATGAAGATTGCATTTAATAAGTACTTCATTTTCTGTTAATATTCAAAAGTCATAAATCGTTTAAAATGTATCTCGGGGAACCAAAGACGTATAAGAAAGTAATATGCTTTTATCAAAAACACATGTTCTGGCATCTTTTAAAATGCAATTTTGCGAGATAATACGGGCGGAGAGAATAGGGGGCGACAAAAACAAATGTGAATAGCATTAGGTATTCATTCGGGCGTGTAGGGCGCACTTTTCCTGCTGCTGGGCTATGATTTCCTTTCCTCCAAAATGCTAATCAAGCCATTTGTTAGGGATTTGCTCAAATGTTCTAAATTTAGAGGGATGTGCGAATAATACACCTTCATACGCAATTTTGGCTTTAGAATGCCATTAAATTGCTATCTGGGAATACGTACGCTGAATTCATCAAAATTGTTAGCTAACACAGTCAATATTTATGAATGCCCTTAAATCATCCACAATTGTGAGCAATTTCAAGACATTTAAACGAAAGTAAAAGATGATCTCCTCATGAAGATAAGAACCCCTAAATGGAGATGATTCCAGTGTACTAGAGAAGTTTATTTTAAAGGGGTTAAAATAAAGGGTTTTAATTTCACACACAATAACGTCCGACATTAGAAAATCCGAAAGGGTTGAATAATAAGACTTTTATCTGTCTCCGCTGTGCGATTTTTACCGGTAATTTCGAATTACCAGCAGTTTTAAGCAGTGAGGTTTGCCTTAAAATATGTATAGTTATTAGCCACCAGAGACTAGCGGCGTCTTATGCCTTCTACCGGATTGCTCTTTATATTCTGGAGCAGAACACGAAAAGAATGGATTTACAATGTATATTTTAGGAATTCTACCCTAGCTGAGGTGATTCTAAACATTTTATTGCCAGTGAAATGCAGGAGCGGACTTTATTTTTTGAACCCATGACGGTTTAAGTATATATGTATATATAGAAAGCTTAACTATGTAATATCATTAGATTAGAACAAAAGCATTAAAAATGCTTAATGTCAAAGTTGTGGCAAGTTCTATGGGCACCACACTGATTTTGACGCAAAAATGCTACAAATTTAGTGATTCTTCAGTTTTTGTCATTCAGTCAGTGTTGTTCCCGAAGGGCTCGGCACAACAAACGCATTAAAAATGTTTAATGGCAAAGTTGTGCAGAGCTCTTTGGGCACGACCTGGCTGTGACGGAAAACATACTCCAAATTTAGCAGTTCTTAGGTTTTTGCCATCCAGTCAGCGTCGTGCCCGAAGGGCTCGGCACAACTTCCACATTGAACACTCTAATGCGTCTGTTGAGCCGAGCCGTTCGGGCACAACACTGGTTTTGAAGCAAAAAGTACTCTAAATTTGACGAATCTTTACTTTTACCATCCAGTCTGGCGTCTGAATCCATTAGAAATGTTTAATATCAAAGTTGTGCCGATCCGATGACCCGATGGGCTCGACACAATTTCCACATTAAACCCTTCCTAATGCGTTTGTTGTGCTGAGCCGTTCGGGCATGACACTGGATTTAACAGAAAAAAATGGTCCAAATTTTGCTTTTTTTTGGTTTTTACCAGCCAGTCAGTGTCGTATTAGAAATTAGTTACCTTTTTATAGAAAATATCTATTGGCGATTATCTCATCCAATATTGAATTGATGCATTATCTATATATAGTAAGTTCCAGAATTAGGTAATGTCTGATTTGCTTTAAAATTCAGCGGACTATTTTTTAGAAAAAATGTCGGACTCATCAATTTTTATTTGAAATTGTAATATTTTTATACCAAATTTGTTAATACAGGCCAGTCCAAAAATAAGTTACAACCATAAACATTTTTTAAAATGGAAGCACTTTTTTACTTCAATTTCGAATTCTCTAATGAACTCTATATTCAGGAGATTCAGGGAGGTACCATGTCCTATACCTAACTTCTACAGAAATTTGAAAGAAATCGTCGCTATTGGTTATTTATAGGCTCAATCGTAAATTTCTCGGTAACTGTTGAGTTGATATATACCACATGTTATTTGAATCATACCCACATAGAATTCAATCTAGATTTAAAAATTGAAATAAAAAGCACCTAAAAATAAGTTATTGGTGGTAACTTGTTTTTGGACGAGCATGTATAAATAAATTTGGCTCAAAAAACTCGTTTTGAAATAAAAATTGAAGGGTCCGAGCTTTCTTCCAAACAAAATTGACGGATTCGTAACTATACCCGCGTTTTTATTTCTCCCTTCCATTGAAAGTTCAACAGATTTTTCGTAAAAACACATGCGGACTACCGCAAGTAGACAGACGTAGAGACTTGCAGGTATTAAATACATTGAATACGATTTAGAAAGTTTTTTTCGAAATATAAGCAAACAATGTATGGGAAAATGTGAGGACATGTTCCTATGACAAGCAATTTGACGACCACTCTGCGGTTTGAATAGATTGAAACATAAAAAATCCATAGCAGGTGTTCACTAAATGCATGTAATACAAATGCGTTTTAATTCGTCTTCGGTAACTAAAAACAAGTTTCCAATGCGAGACGAAATTAAATACACCTGAACTGAGGATACATGTGTGTGCAAATATCTACTAAATTAAATAAATGTCTGTCTGTTTTATCGTAGAGGCAGTGGCATTCTAACTTACAGTGAACCTACCTTTTATTTATATCACTTTACATCTTGAACATTTTTCACTCGAGCCTTATCACAAGGTCTTAATTAAAAAATCATTATGAATTATTATCTCGAATGGTAGCGAAGAATTTTTTGATAAATGACTACGGGGCCCGGTGAGCTTGTTTATTAGCTGGTATTTCGTTTTTGCAATGACACCCACAAATTTTAACGAACTGATGCCAAAAGTTCCGACTTTGAAACAGACGTTTTCATATAATACAACATGACGTTTTGCAGAAAAGAACTATCGTATACCTATATTTTCCAGAACGTTTTTGCTAACAAATTGCCAATAATTTGCTAAAAACGTTAACTTTTTCCAATTGGAAAATTAAAATAAACTAATAAATTTCCTTTTTAAAATTTGATAAAGCTGGTGACAAATGAACTAAATTACCTCTTCTGACGCTGACAATTTTAATCATATACTTAATTATTAATACATTTAGTTATAAATCGCGATTTCGAACAGCAGATTAGAGATAGAACATATTTCACACGAAGCTCTACTACAGCAGATATTCTAGTTTTTATTATATTTCGGATAGAACATCGACTGAGCTTAAACCAGTATGAATAGAAATATGTTAAAACATTTGCCAAACCATTGTTCACTGGAAAAAATGTATGATATTTTTGATAAACTTAAGAAAATCTTTTATACCTTTCGAATCGTTTGCGTCATTTAAACTGTGAGAAAAACAGGAAGGATAATTTCCATCTGCATAAATTTAAAAATCTCCTGCAAACTCGTCCTCCAAAAACGATTTAAAGCTCCCTGGAGCACTGTCAGTAATTCTTCCTTGGGATAATTTAAATATAAAATTTTACAGTACATATTTTCTGTCATGTGGTTTCTTTGTTTTATTGTTACAAATGGGTCGTTATGAACCGTTAGTTTTCATATACCGAAGGGTTATTCTTGTGTTATGCTCCTGCCAGAGTTAGTATGTTTATGGGCATTAAAACCTTTTAAGGTATGTTAGCAAAAACAATTTTGTTAGTTTGATTATCGAGCTAATAATTTACGATCTTCAGATTATAAAATAAGCTAAAGAAAAAGCTGCATCATTCGTTTCTTTTTTTAAAGACGAACCTGTAAATAATGTCCATCCTCGTTAGGCCCAGCTGGTGGTCATAAACGAGATGCAATCTGAAATATTATTTTGCCCGTACATTATTATGAGTTTGACCACTCATAATTTAATGATAAATCACTTTAAATGTTACGCTGTCCGTATCAATAAATATCTTTACGGATATTTTCTGTTTCTACGGTTTTCATGATTGCGTTTTTATTGTAGCGCCATTTGAAAATACTTACCTCTTAAACCTGATGATTAATTTATCGACTTTTGCTAATTTTATTTTGCACCAAAACATATATTTCTTTCCAAAATTGACAGCTACGCTATCTAGAATTCAATATAGACTCTTACACAATAAAATTAGAGATAGCTAATATAATATACATACGAAATTAGGGGAAGCCCGAGAGTCCTTTTATCTCTAGCTCCAACCCTAACATAAGGTTACTCAACATGGTAATTTAAAGCTTTACAATGTTTAGTGGTTGAATTTGGGGCTATATTTAAGTAAATTATACTACATTGAGTTTTGATTTACATACTATTAGTGCATTTCTCATTCATTGGAGTTCTTAGATAAATTTTGGTATTTCACATTTGTTTTTACCGACAACATAACAATTTAACTATTCTTTTTTGCAGGTCATTTCCAAAAACATCACCTAATTTGAAAGAGAAAGATTCAGGAATGGCGTAAGAAGGTAAACATATATTAATTTTATCAAGCTTTTGTTTTCCGAATAACTGTTGGACAGTCTATAAAAACCCTGATCAAGATAGTGAAGACAGTTGTAACAGAATCCGAGCTTTGCCACTACCAAAATTAAGACATAACTTACTCTAGGCCATATCCCACGTGACACATATATATCAATGCAAAAGAAAGCTCGTCTTTTCCCGGACTTTTACCTGCTTGATTCATACTAACATTATAACTGTCAAAAAAGCGCACTATCAACAGATCTCGCGCTTTACACCCTCGAAAATCTAATATTACTTTCCTTTTTGATGATGGGCCTTCTGTGAAAAGGTTTGTCAAATATGTGGTGACCACCATAATTAGAAATTATGCTTCTGAATTACACAGAATCCGTTGAAAGTTAACGGTTCAATATACGAAGTTTGTGGCTTTCTGCTGCGAAGGGGATGAAATTTATTATGGAAGTTTTTTCAGTTTCTTATCATTTGTGATTTATTGACAGTTGACCTTTGGACGTTTACAGTTAGACTTGTTTATAAAGGAAATGAATTTTGACAATTTGATACAGACCAAGATTTTGCCTAGATATCTAATGTTTATGGGCTTAATTTAAATAATAATTAATCTCCAAGTGAGAGATCTTATTTTAATTTGATTCATTTTCATTAGATTTTATTTATGTGTATTATTAATTTTTAGTTGAAACAATACTTTTTAGTCTCGAGTGAATTCGTGAAAACTGGCATTGATTAAACTGCATTACTCGCTATATTTTCTTTCATTTTTTTTTCTAATTGATCTCCTAACGTTGATCATTATTTTTGACAAGGTAAAAAAGGTAAAGCATGCATTTGTGATAAATTTAATTTATCAATTAACGTTGATTCCAGAATAATAAGTAAATTACGAGCATACAGATAATTATAAGTTGTGAATGTGACGCAAAAAGTTTTTTTTACTTAAGTTAGAGGATTTGATATAATTTATTATGACACTAAAGGAAAATTGCAAAACCATGGCTGTACTAAGGCAAATTTCCGAAGCCTTGATAAATAAATCGCTAAATCAGTTTTATTTGATAATTGTTCCTTGTACTGTAGCGAAGAAGTGCGGCATTCAAAACAGAAAAGAACCTATAATATTGCAATTTAGATAAATGTAACTTGTCTTAGTATGTTGAAGGAAGTTGGTTGTTTGTGGAAACGTCTTGTATATTCATTTAAATGAAATATTATCAACTACATTCCATTGCTCTCACTAGACTCTCCAGTGCAAAAAAATATAAAAAAGCGCATTTAAAAGCCTGAAAAAATAAATTTATGCTTTTTAACGCACTTGGAGTGGAACTTTCACATTTTTTCACACATTTTTCTGTACAAAATTATATTCCAAGCTTCCTGTATACATAAAGAGACTCGAACTTTTCCTTTGGACCACACTACAATATTAATATTCTTCGGCGTCATGAACAATATTTGGTACTTAGTACATTCATTAAATGATTTGTTCGATTACCCTTTTGAAATTTGCCGGACCATTAAACTGCAATTAAGTTTTAAGCGCTAATTAGTGTTGCAGCAATTAAGTTTCGTTATCTTCCTACACTTATGGCGTGAAGGATATAATTTAAGCACGCTAAACAAGGGCTTATCTTGGTACTGACTTCGTACATGTATCTCAAAATGCAAATTACATGGCAAACTTGCCACTGTTTTCGTCTAGAAAAGCAATCGTTTTTGCATAAGAATTATCATTTAATAGATAACTTTGAGTAGAAGTTTGACTTAGTTTATGTAAAAATAATGCTTGAAAACGGTATGCATAATGAAACTATGTTGGATTTTACGTTTACTTAGGCGGCAGGTGAGGATGGTATAAATGGTGTACACTTTCTTAACTCTCTCTTACGGTTTTCTAAGGATTTTTTCAGTCGCATATGCCTACAAGTTACATGGAATATATAGATAATTTTCTGCTTATAGGATGTTCCGTGCATACTAGAGGTGTGCTACCCGAACGACTTCGGTTTCTGACAAACATTTTTGTTAAACCTGATGAACATTTCTAATGAAAGACATTTCCGTTGGGTGATTTACGTTTTTGTTTCTACAGAATCTACTGGTCTCTTGGTGCTTTCTATGATCAATTAATTGGAATTAAATCTTCTTATTTGTTTTATATTATTTGTTTCTAACGTGCTTAATGATTCTGAATTATTATGGCCCTATCAGAAACATTATAAAACTCTTGTGTATTGCCTTCTTAAACAGTTTTACATTATCTTTCCTTGTGGAGCTTCAAAAACCACACTTTTATGGTGTAATATTTTCCAAATGCCTTTCCACAAAACCTATAGGAAACGTATCTAGGAAATTGATTTCGCATGTATAAGAGTAACAAAACACTATATGCAGGCTTTTGCAATAACGCATTGAGATGGAAGGATGCTTCAGCTCATCGAACTTCCAATGCAATTTTCGTTTTTCCTGTTTTAGTAAAAGTTTTCTAAGTAAATTTGATTGTAAGATAAGACATGAGACTTTCCTGATGCATTAACTGACGTGGCGAAAGGAACTGTAATTAGTCAGTTGTGTCCATTGGTAATTCCCAACTACAGCTGAAATTATGTATTAAATTTTCTACATTAATTAATTTTACCTTGTTTGAAGTTTTACGTGCATTTCTTAAAGTAACTAAAGCAACTGGAAAAATGTTACAAAATAAACTGAATGTAGGAGCTAAAAAATTAAATAACTAAAAAAGCGAAGAAAAGGAAAAATTGACACAAGTCACTTAAAGTCCTATAGGCTAAACAACACAAAAGTAGCGAAATTCAACATGAAATGATAACTTATGCTCAAAGTAAATTGGAGCGCACTGATTTCAATAGATTTAGTCTCGATATTATTGTTGAAGAGGTAACCGACATAGCACGAGATGTGATTTAGCTTATTCAAAATCAAAAAAATTATGTTCAGAAAGCTTATTTAGGTACTTGGAAAAACATCGTACATTTCTATGAACAAAAATGCAGTTAAATCTTATTATAAATCTATATTAATATACTTAAAATGACGTTAGTTTTAGAATGAAATCGTGAGATAAACAGGACTCGATAATGTTTAGTTAACAACATTATACATTACGTAATTTGAAAAATTGTTCAAACGCAATCGATTTTAGAGCGCCATCTCGACAAGGGTGACTGAAATTCCGTCTTCAGAAGTCCTGCACGTCCTGATTTAAGTTCAGCGATCGGTCGCAGCTTCCTGCAAGAGTTTTTCTAAAATCGACGTTGCCAAACTACACGAAGATTCCCAAAATATACTTACATCTTATCTTATTGCGTAAATTGCATTTGTAATGTAAATTGCATTTGTATGTAGATATACCACGATACATAATTAATAATCTGGGAATAATTCCTAAACTACGCTGAACCGACTGACATGCAAACATACACTTGCGTGTAAAGAAGAGCTTGGCAAATTAAATTGGTTAAATAACGATCTAATTAATATAAAATACTGTTCATTTTTATTCACTTCAAAAGCTAGAAAGCTACCAAGCGCCAAACTCTTGGTATTTGTACCAATTGCATAAACTTCCATACGACGGTATTGCACGTAAAGCTTCTATGCAGTAGTAAGAGACTCATAAAGGACGAGGGCATTGGCAGTTTTGATCCCCAACCGCATTAGATGTTCAATTATGTCCAATTATGGCCTATGATCGCACTTCACTAATCCCCAAGATGTTGTAAAAGAACAACCGACAGCTACCGTGAATTTGGGGGAAACCTCTGTATGTCTTTAGAAACTCAGTAGCGTTACAATATAAACAATTTTATTAGTATCTTATGTTGCTGGAAAAGTTTCACACTTCACGAACAGAGTTACGATTGTGGTCGCTTTCCTTTTCTTTGCAGTAATTACTGTGAAAACTTTATGATTTCCCATTTTATTACATCTTAAAATACATCTCTAACTGCCGCTTTGTTATGAAACCAAATAAGTATGTATAGCAGTATATAAAAATACCATATTTTTGTTGATTTTTTTGGTTGTTATTAACACTATATTGTCTGCGATAGCTTACAGTCTATCTGCCATTTTTTGCAATCGGGTTTTCGCTTATCAAGAAGCTTTTAATTTGCACATCACAAAAAATTATTTGTTTTCTGCCTTATTTTATGTTGGAATATTTGAATTGCCGGCCCTGAATTAGTTTTGAATAAAACAGTACTTAAATAGGCGTATTTCTGCTGAGCCACGCCTCCAGCAGTACTTTAATTATATCCTGCGTGTTTGTTCTCCTGGTAATGCAGGCATTTATGGTACTGCCTTGCTCAAATGTTTCATTATCAATTAGTGCGATTAGCTAATGATAGCAAAAGTGCAAACACATTAATACCCTCATATACTTCCATTATGTTTGCTAATTGTTTACGCTGAACAGGAACGTTTAATATTGTTTTACGTTGTCGACTTGTTCCAACTCCACCTGCATTTGATTGTGGCCGGCTTCTGCCGCTTGCAATTTTATGTTGTTCATTGTATAGGATAGAATAACATTTAGGAATGTTTTCCGGGCTTTGAAGCCGTGGTCTATCGGAATTTCTTCGTCATTTCATCGCCTTTGAAAATGTCCACCGCAGTTGTGGACGAAACGTCAGGAAGAAATTCCGATAGACCACGGCTTCAAAGCCCGGAAAACATTCCTAAATGTAATTTGACCGGCCGTGAAAGCCTTCATAGTCTGATAGGATAGAATAGTTTCATTTTTTTCGTTTGTTAAAATATCTTGGATTAATTGGAATTGTTGAAAAAAGCGAAAAATAGACTTGCACTGGTGAAGAATATGTATGAAAAAGAGGAAGCACACTCAAAGTAAATCGACGTTGGTGATTAATTATCTTACATCGAATCGCGACACCTGAATTCGTTAGAATAAAAGTGCAGCTAGTAAAGCAGACCCCCACGAGTCTCCTGACCACGCCTC